AAAAAAAAAAAAAAAACAACAACAACAACAAAAAAACCACAACCAAAAAAAAAACCAAAAAACCAACAAACCTGTTTGGGTTGTTTCTTTTAACTCCTGATTGCTTTTGACCTATTTTGTTGTTTGAAGCCCAAGGAATGTGCCAGCTTAACCAAAGAAGAAACAAAAGGGAAGGAACATGTAACTGAGAAGATTTTTAATTGCTACTGGATGAGAGTATCTCCCACTTTTCTCAAATTGAGGAAAAAAGAAGACAAAAGAAAGGGGGACCAGACAGAAGAAGGAAGAACCCATATCTGATATGTCTATTTAGCGTGTTATACATAAAGTAAACCTCCTTAAAAGTGTTTATAAAAAAAGGTAGCTCTCAAGAAATGTTCCCCACAAGCCAGATGTAATATAAATTATTCATACCTGATGAGGTTGGTTCCTCTTCAATTGAGGCTGTGCAAAAAGGCATCAGGGATGGGAAGGGTGGCAAGGACAAGGAAGGGGAAGAAAAGTGAAAGGAAGAGAAAGAAAGAAAGAGAAAGAAAAATACAAATGAAGAAAGTCATACAGTCCTAATTGTTACATTATTTACATTTTCTTAATATAAATAGGTATCATAAAAAACTTTATTCTCTCCATCCTGCACCACTTCTGTTCCCTTCAGGTCCTTCCCAGTCATGATGGGGTGATGACAGCAATGAATTACTGATTCTGAAACTGAGTAGTTAGGGAGCAAAAGTGGAAGTTTTGGGGTGGGGATATGTGTGTGCCAGGGACACACTTGCCCATCGGAATCTCCATTTCAGGTGTTTATTGTCTAGGAAAAGCAATAAAAATCCATATCTTCACCTTTCCCTTTTATGGATATATGTCTTTAAGTTACCACCAGAAAGCACTGATGATTCTGGACTATCTACTACCAGCACATTCAGAAGCAAGGAACAGGCATGTTCACAGTAAAACTGCATTTTAAAAGTATGTCAGTGACCAAGTTCTTTCCCTTCTTGTAGCCAGGATGTTTTATGAACACATACATCACAAAAACATTCTTTTAACAGTCTTGCAAATTTCTCTGTGACAGTAAAAGCTGTGTTCAAGTGTTTCTCACTTGGATACCATAAGAGAACCTGGAGGTGAGAGAACTCTCCTTAAATGAGATACAGAGGTCCCCTTGAGGTATTAAACCATGTATCCATACTTTTATTTTTTTCCTCTTTTAATAACCATCTTCTACCAGTGACAATGGATGCTTCTTCTGCTTGATTTCTTGCAGAATCAGCTCAAACCATATTCCCACAGCCATGACAAACACTGACCCACCCTGATGGCCCTCAAGCTTGCACTTGACATGGATAAAGATTTCAAACATTTTCTCAAAGAGCAGCCTAACGTTTGGTAAACTCATTTATTTTCCTTCACTATCGCCCCTATCTATTGTGCAGGGAGGAATCAGGACAGGATCAGGAAGACCTTCCCACTTTTAGTGAAATTTACCAACCGCGTTTGAGACTGGCAATAAACCTTGGTTATTTCAGTGCAATATTCTATATATGCAACTGTATGAGGGTGACTAACACTGAATACATCAGTTATTCCTAATGCAAAGTAGCATGGTGTCCTTTTACGGGCTGTCAAGTCTAATGGAGACAAAATAATGAATTACTGTCTGAAGCACCAGTGAAGCATCCTGTCTCCAGCTGAAATAAATAGGTGATTTCTATTTCTAAAGCTTGGTGTTCAGATAAACCCTGAAGAAGGCTACACAACAACACAACACTATGAAGTACATAACCTAAAATGGCCTAAACAGGATGCTTAGCTAAGCCTTCCCTTTTGTAACTCCTTATTTAATGTTTGAATGTGTACTTTAAAACTAGATTAATCCATTATGCAGTGTATGTAAAGGTCACTTTAAGCTTTCAGGAAGTTTTTTTTTTACTGTTAACTACTGAATTTAAGTAAAATCAGTTTCTAGTAGTAGTTTCAAGACAAAGAAAAAAGGGAAGATACCATTTCACTGTTTTTGAATAGAACTAATCAGATAATCATTAATTCAACATGACAGCTGATTACACACACACAAAACAAACAAACAAAAAACTCCCACACCTGAATATCTGAATCTCAGAACCTGAAGTAAATAAATAAACTGCAAACTGAGTAAATAAAGTAGGTTGTAATTTATCAAGGTGCTACTGGAAGGGAGAACTACACAAACAGAACAGAACATGAAAGTTGGAAGTTCCATTATTAAATTTTGCAAATGCACCCAATCTGTATTAGCTGCAAGCTCTACTGCTGCTTAAACAACAAATAATTCAAACTACTAGTGACTGTGCACTAAAACTGCTTAAACAAAACTGTCTAATTATACAAAGAATATTCATTCCAGGGACCATTTTCTTCTGACACATTTTTGAATAATATTCTTAGACTTAATTATCAGGATGAATACAAGCATTAGCAGTTCAAAGCTGAATTCTATTACTACTCTGATGGTTGTTTCAGAGGGACTACTCTACGCTTAGGTATACATACAAATAAAACAGTATAGCTGAATCTCAGCTGAATAAATCACTCAGATGCCAAGACAGCTAAGCCAATAATGTCACTTTTCTGTTTATTTAATTAATTTTGGCTATTTGATTGTTAGTTTGAGCTGTTTCAGGAATATACTATGTTCTTTTCTTGTCTGAGATAATGAGAACTGCAAAAAGACCTAGGTCTACTTGTCAGTACTGTATTTCTTAATCCTAGACAGAAATTAAATATGAATATTAAAAACAGATAAGAAAATGAAGTTATGAACTTGTTTGTACTTCATACAAACTTTTATAAAAAAATCAAATTAACTCAGTCTCTTGCTTTATGTGACAGGACATTTTCACCTCCCATAGACTGAGAAACCATGTTTTAAAAAAAGCCTTCAGAAAGCTATGGAATACTCAGAGAATACGTTACTTTTGCTATATCATACCAGCTTAAATGCAATGTCAGCACTTTGTTTTCCATTCGTTAAGGAATGGAACTACCACACCAAAAAATTCCAACACATCATTTTTTTTTTTTTCTGTCAGCAGTGATTTAAAGCATTAAGTTACTTTTAAAAGCTATTTATGAAGTAAATCATCTCCATAGTAATCATCTGTATTTTACTTTTCACTTGTTCCAAAGGAGTGGATAGGGAGTAAGCTGGAACTGCCTTGCTCAAGTAGGCTCACACAGGCTAGTGACTCATTGTGGTGGGTGGTGGATCCCCATCAGCCTGGTATTTTCTTCCTGATCCCAGAGAGGTGAGACTCACACAGAGTAATCACTTACTTATTTAATGAAGTGCCCCAAACAGTCACAGGCATCCCCAAGTCTGGTAACTGCATTGCATGACCTTAAAATGTAAACTTCTCTGAAGCTTTAAAGCATCTTTGACAGCATATTTCCTCCCCTTTTAATGCATCACTGACCAAACATAATAAGACATATGGCAGCAGAAACATTAGATTTTATCTTCTTAGGGAAAATCTGATGTTCACTTGGGAAAAGCTGATCTTTTTTCCTTAGAGGTGAATAATCCTGCATGACACTAATGGGAGGAAGAAAGCCAAGAAGACATGGGCAGGTTTGGAAAGCCTATACCAGGACAGATATCACTCAACATTAGCTTAAGAGAGATAATACAGGAAGGCAGTATCTGGGCCTGGGCAGTATCTGAATATCTATGCCAGATCCTGATTATTTCTCTTACTGTGGCAGAAGTCTTGACAGGTGTGGGAAAAAAAAAAAAAAGAAATTTGAAGCATTAATAACAGCCTCCTGTACTATGTTATATCTTATGACACATTGCATTAGTTTTGTATTATATCGAAGCTTATGTTAATTTTATATTAAAGTGAAATATGTTTGCCTTTAGCATTCAAATAAAATACAAGGCTCATACACAAAAGAATAAACTTAGATATATGGCATTATCTCTACGTAAAAGGCTATGCAAGAGCTCTACAAAATCACCCAAATGAACAGCAAGATCCAAGAACAAGTAAAATTTTTCTGAATGTGACATCAAAAATGAATTATATGCTGCTCATCATCAAATCTGAGGATCTCAGGGGGGTTGCAATGCCAGGAAGACTGACTTGAGTGATTTCCTAAAGACTCAACATCAGTCATTAAGGGTGTGATTGTAATGCTACGGATGTTTCATTGAAAATATGTGTTTAACAAGACTGTCTCTTCACTCGCTCCCCATCTGACAACCTACTGCATTCAGAGGGTCTTGGAACAGCATTGCCTCCTTCCGTCTTCACCTGGCCATGCTATGTTTGCAATTATTCTTGAGAAACAAAATAAAACAAAAAATACACACAAAATTCCCAAACAAATAGACACCCCCCCCCCAACAAACCAAAAACCAACCAACCAACCAACCAAAACATACACACACACAAAAAACAAAACAAAAAACAAACAAACACACAACCCCCAAAACAAAACAAAACAAAATCAAACATACAAACAAAACAAAACCCCCAAAACAAAAAGCCCACAAACAAACAAACAAACAAACCCCTCAACACCCAAAAACCTGTCATATGAAAAGAGATGCTGGAATGCTTTCCCAGTGTTGCTCCCTCCCTCTGTTTCTTCCGGGAGGGGGGAATTCAGAAGGGGGGGCTGCCTCCTTTTTTTTTGCGTGAGGGGAAGTGATTTTTTTTTTTTTCCTGCTGGATACCAGGTGGAGATCGACTGAAAGAGGGAGAGACCAACCCATCTTAGAGGGAGATATTCTGCCCCTGTACTATCAGAGCCTCCTGACCTGAGGCTGCGCCAGTGGGAAGATGGACTGCTGGTCACTGGTGGTCACTCAGGGGGCTTCGGGCAGCTCTTGAGCTGCCGAGAGCAATTTGCCCTCAGCCCTCTGGTTTGTCGAGGGCTTCTTTCGCCTCTGGGCATTTAGGACTTCGTTTTGTTTCGTTTGAAAGTTTTGGTTGCACCATTTGTTATTTATTTGAGTTTGTTAATAAAGAACTGTTCTCTTCCTTTTCCACACTTTCGCCTGAAGCGTCTTAATTTCTAAGTTGTAATCTTGTTAAACTTAGGCAAAACCTAAATGACAAAACAGCAGAACAAAACCAAACAAATAAAAACAAAACAAGAAGGAACACACCAAGCACTTCTTCAGTACATGTGAGAGATAGCTCACTGTAAACTGATAGAACTCTGCCTTGGTGACAGATGTTAAATGGAAAACACATTTATTAATTAAGAAACCCTTATTAGGCCTGTGGCACGTAGTAGAGGAACTGTATCACTCTTCATGGGTTTACATCAACTTGAAGCCTATGTAAAACTCTTTCTTCATTGTTTTATTTAAAAAAAAAAAAAAGTTGGTACCTGAGCAAAACTTCAGGTATTATTAAAATCTAGAATACTAGTATCTTAAAATGATAGTGTTAGAA